ACATTAAATTCCAGTGAAATATATTTATGTTTGTGGTTGTAATGTGACAAAATATGGAAAAGTTCAAGGGGTATGAATACTTTTGCAAACCACTGTATATGGTCAAGAAATTTACCATTTAGCTTTGCTGTGAGCACTAATGTTCAGGTGAAACAAGTTTGTATTGTTTCCAGGGTGTTGTTCAGTGTTTTCCAGTTAAATAAGATTGGAACATTGAAGGTGTAGTGTGACCTTATAACACCTGACACTGTCAGTTATTTAAAAAAACTCATATCAACCAAGATCAGAATCAGTAGGTCAGACTTTTCAAAGATCTGGGATGGATCAGAAAACTGTGGTCGGTGCACCACTACAAACTATCCTAACAGAGTAAAAACATGTAGGGTTGGGTGACTATGGCAAAAAAAATCACAATTAGTTGTGGCATTTAGCTGATAACTATTGATATGACAGCAACTGCACTTGCATGTAGTCCATGTTATGGCCTTGGTCCACATTTTCTGGCTTAAAATCTCGAAAATGGGTTGTTGTAAACTAAAAACAAATTCTGAAATTTGATTACCGTAGATTACATAATCCAATRCTGATTTCAATCTGGATCCAACCCTCAGTTTATATTGTTTACAACCTTTGGATCATTTTGATCCCATCAAATCTGGATTATTCAGATCCCAGCAGTTGGGTGGAATCAGTGTGGATTTAAGGAACAAAATCTGACTTAAATTAAATACTAACTTGTCAAATGAACATCATTCATCATAGTAGATTAACATTCATTTATTTGTTTGTTTGCCTGATTTTCAAACCATTACAGGTGAAATCATAAACTTTACACTGCAGACCTGTAAAGTAGAATGAAAATAATCCTCTGAATAAGTGTCAAAAAAAACTTTAATTGGAATCTTAAAATTTAAGATCATTATTCACAAATAGTTTGTGACAAAGCCCCCTGTGCTTCACGTTGACTCTCATTCTGTGAGAACGGTATGTCTTCATTTTCACTGGCTCAGGTCATTAAGCCCATCACACAGAGGGATATTCCACTCTGTAGCTGGACTGTGCAGAACAATACAGGTCAGTATTATGTTGGACACTCCARGGGAACATTATTCTGGTAGTTGCACTGTTTTTTAGTCTAGCCTTTAGTGTGAAACAGTTATAGAGAGTTCTCTATGCAGTTATCATCACAACGTTAGGTCAACAGTATGATGTGTAATTAGGCCACACCCTTCATACATGGATGGCCTTCCAGTAGGGGGGTGGATTAGGATCAGCCATAGCCGATCAGGTGCATTGTGACTGAAATGTGTGGAACTTAGAGCTAGTGTTGTAGTAAATGAGACCGGTCTTGGTCTTAAGYCCACTTTTGGATGGTCTTGGTCTTGTCTRGGTCTCGGACATTGACGACTTGGAATTTTGTTTCAAGACCAGTCAAGACCACAGCTGTGGAAATATCACTAAATAGTCAGATTACTGTACAATTTA